CAGCCCCGACCCGCCCGCGTCTCCCCCTCCTCCCGTCTCGGTGCTGCCTCAGCTCCCTGGTTGCGGGGCTTCTGTTCCACCGCATCTCAGGAGGCTCTGAGGGACGGCGGTTCTGTGTTTAGTTGTGATTGTGCTGCGGTTGGGGGGGGCCGCGGTGCAGCCGTTGCCCGCGCCGCCATCATGTTTCCTCGCCGGTGTTCCCATTTTTAGATATAAATGAATGTGCTGCGAATACCCACGTGTGCAGCCCCCACGCCAATTGCCTCAATACGCCAGGGTCCTTCAAGTGCACGTGCAAGCAGGGCTATAAAGGCAGCGGGCTTCAGTGTTCCGGTAAGTAGCCTTTGGCCATGGTGTCTTAGCTATTCCCGGGAAACCTCTCCCTGTCTGCGTCCTCCCTCATCTGTTTCCAGCCCTCCCCCCGTGGGTGGGGTGCCGGCAGTGGTTGAAAATTGAACTCGGCCTCAGCGTTGTCTTCTCTGCTAGTCAGACCACATCTCCAATACTGCAATACTAAAGTTGTAGGCACAAAATTTAAAGACTAGCAAGGGTTCTAGATATTTTTCTGGTCGCAGCATACTTTCAAATTCTGAAAATAAGATTTAAAGACAACACTGAGAAACTATCTGTTGGTATAGACGATGTTATGGTGCTGTAACAAGCAATCCTAGAATGTCAGTGGCTTAGGCCCACAGTGTTTTTTAACCATGTGAATCAGAACTTTTTCCAGAATGCACAACCAAAACAAAGTATGATGAAGCTGATGTCACTGCGTTTCTCATCCTCAAACCTAGATTCACATTTTTAATGTATAGCAAGGAATCCCATTGTTCTTGCTCGTGAATTCCTTAATGCTTAGGTGGTAAGATCTTAAATTTATAAACCAAGTGTGTAATAATAGAATGTCACTGCTATTAACAGCCACAACAGTGGTTTACTTCTCACCCGTGCTATGTCTGGAAAGAGTTATCAAAGTGTTTCTTCTCCATGTCACTGAGGGACCCAGGCTGACAGAGGCCCCACCATTTTATGGTACCTCGGTAAGGGTTTGTCACAGCTGGGACAGTCACACAACAGCTCTTAATTAATTCAGTTTGGAAGTAGAGGCAAAACTATATATAATTTTGTGTGTCCCAAAAGAGAAGAAAACTAGAAATCATGATGACCATCTGGAATATATCCCAAGGTAAGCCAGCAATGTTCCAGTACAGTCACTCCCCTGACAAACAGCATCTCACAGTGTTTAAAGTCATCCAGGTTTGTCCCTCTGATCACGTCAGGGTAACTAGGTTTGTTTTCTGCCCTGACCCTACTCTCTCATGTACCCATATAGCAGAGTTCCCATGTATTCCAGTAAATATGGCCGCAACTTTTACCTTGACCTGTATCATAGCCCATGGCCCCATTTGGCCAACGCTCCTGGTGACACAACAGAGTGGCCACTCAGTGATGGCAAAAATAAGCTGTCCATACCATGGCAGACACTGAGCAGCACACCTGTAACAGGTTCCCAGTACCCTGGTGGGCTGTGGTTGAGTGCCCCTAGACAGAGTGTGTACAAAAGAATGTAATCAAAGAAAGTGAGTCTAGGAATCAAATTGTATGACGAATTTCCAAAAGAACTGGGCAGCATTTAATCAGGAAGGAAAAAATAGTATGGAAAAGCATAAATCTGCCTGTAAATATTTTAAGGAATGTGAAATAAAAATGGCTTCCGAAAGCAGACTAAGACCGATGGGTGGAAGTTACATTCTCTCTTAAAAACGACTGCCAGGTATCTGAGAGTAGAGCAGGCGACCCTGCTGAGTAGGGATATTCCACTGCCCAGGCTCTCAGGCCCAGGGCTCGAGGAGGGATGCCCATATTGCCTGGAGATGGGATTAAATGGCCATTCAGTCGCCAGCAACCTGATGCTGTGGTGTCTGTCCCTCTACAGAAGTGCCCATAATGTCCTTCTGGAACTTTATGCAAACAAAGAGAGATTGGCTGCCCATGCAGGGCTGTGCATGGGAGGGTTGGGGGAAAGGATGCCATAACCTTGAGAGGCCCCGAGAGAGGAGACTGAATAAATCAGTGTCCACATTGGACGAGTGGTTGAGGGTTCCTTCAGGCATCCCTCATGCGTCTTTACCTGGAGACTACCAGCTACATTCAGGATGGTGCAACACACCTTTGGCATATTGCTTTTGTAATAATAATAGTAATAGTATTGAAAATAAACTCTAGGAAGCTAAGGCCAAATATATGTTGGGCACTAATCTTAGTAATTGACATGTATTCGTTCATTTAAACCTCACCAAAACCCTAAATAAATGGGGAGACTGAAGCAAAGAGAGGTTAAGTATTGGTTGGAGGGCACATGACTAGAATATGTGAGAGCTGGGATTCAGACCCAGGAGACGGCTCCAGGGCTACGTGCTTAACACAAGATAAGTATGTCCATGACCCATGGCTACTCCTCTGGGGTGAAGACCACTCCTGGGCCCCTCCCAGACAAGTTCTCATGACTAGCTTTTCTGCCATCCTTGCCCCTTCCTGTTTCCTGGATCTCATGACCTTGTATATCCCTCATCCACAATTAAGCCTTTCCTCCCAGGATTGTGTCCGAAGCTCAGATGAGAGGGGCGCTTCTCCTGCCAGATGAAATCACCTGGTGAACTAAACACAGGTGAATGAAAGTCAAAGTCATATTCCTCCCGAGAAAGATGTTCTCACATCATAGTGATCTTTTCTCAGTAAAGTTGGGATTTTTAAGTAGGTAGACATTTTGCACAAAGTGAGTATTTAGAGAAATTTCAAATCTCCCCGAGATAAATTGCCAACATCATCTACAGAAGAGTGACTTCTGAAAACTCTGGAATTCCTTACTTTTATGTCTGAGATCCCCCAACATGTCAAAGACCCTTCTATTGCAACTTCCTCCCACATTTTTATATTCTCAAGAAGATGATACAGTAATCAAGAAATTTTAAAGTAAAAAAAATCAATTATGTCAAATTTGAAACAGCAATTCCCAGATAAAGCCAAATCTATCCATTCGTGGTCATGCACATGCATGGCTCCTTTATCCTTGCCGCAGCTCTCTCTTTACATACTAAGGGAGTGAAATTGTTGACACCACAAAGGTCGTGATGGCTTGATTGTTTTCCAATAGAAAAAATCAAAACTTCAAAACAGAAACTGAAAGCAGATGTTTAGGTTTGCCTGGTGTGGATTGAAACCCTCTCCCCATTATTTATTAAAGGTCCTTAGTTTTATGTTACTGATTGCATAAAGGAAATTTCCAGGGAATGGGTGTTTCCTGTTAAGTTTTCCTGCTGGGTCCTGGGAAAAGATTCAGGAACCATGCACAGAATTAGACAGTGGGGCCTCCAGGAAAAGGTCTATATCTGAGCAGCTTATTACAGTCAAAACTTAACATGTGATCTCTGGCAAAGAAGCTGAAACAGGCCACCTGAAGGTCAGGAAAATGAGTAATGATGTGTTATTTGTACTAGTAGTAGCTGGTTTCAAACCTATAACTACAGGCTATCATGTTGATAACTAAGACATTTCATTGAAAAGGGAAATGTAGCTCTTGCTATAACTGCCTTAGATTGATTTCAAAGTAAAAGCAATGTATTAATTTAGAGCATATATATTTTCAAAGCATTTTTCTTCTTTTGATTGCCCAAAATATATTGTGGACTTCTCCTTGTTTATTTTCTACCACTTTGGTTCACAGTGAATCAGCCAAATGATGGAGAAGGAATTGAACAGGAGAAGAAATTAAAACATTGCCAAGAAAAATGTTATTTCCAATTTATTTTACAGTATTCTTTTCAGGGACTGAAGTTGATGTCTACTCTCTTATTTCATTTCCCTCTAAACTATATCAAGGTAGTAGAATTGAATGCATTGTTTCAAGTGTTATTAGACCCTTTCTTGCTTAGTTTTAGATTAGCACATGCCTAGATATTTTATAAAATGACAATATCTTTTATTTTAAAGGTCAGTGTTTTTAATTTTTAAAAAATTACTTTTTTTAACATCAGTTGGATATTCTTAATTATCATGAATAAATCCTTGGAAAGGGGGCATGCATCTTTAGATTCTAGATCTTAAGGCATCTGAACCAGTCTAAAGAAAAGTAACACTTAATCCTAAAGAATGGAAATAGGACTGGGAAAACAGTCATTCATCTGCTTCACCCTCAAATTCTAGCTCTGCCCCTGGGTATCTGAGTGACTTTGAAAAAGTCTCTTAACCCAGTTGCCTCATCTATAAAACAAAGGTATTGGGCTAAATGACCTTTTTTCTACCTCTTGAGTTCTTCTACACTAATGTTTCCCCCCAAGGGTCATTGATCCACTGGGGGTATGAAGAATCAACCTAGAGGTGCATTTTTAAAAACAATTTAATTTGGTGGTGAGAAATAGAAAACGAATGTAAAACAGCAAATGTAGAAGCCTCTCTATAAATATTCAATAAATAAAATTCTTTCACATTAGATGGTAGCAGACTGAGGTTAAGAAATTCAAAGCGGAAAGAGAACAGGGAAGAAAAATTAGGTATATACACATTGAACCATAAATAACCATTTTTGTGGGTCAAAAATGGTCCATTGTTAATAATTTACATGGTCCAGCCTAATGCTATAGCTGTAATCTTTGAACAGAAAATTTGGACAAATCTATAGGGCTACCTGGACAATATCAGCTTTGGAGAATACCTGTGTCAAAGCGGAAATATTAGAGGACCCTGGAAAATCCATCACCTTAGAACCTGTAACCCAACTTGGTAGGAGCGGGTATTTCATCATCGTAGTCTCTGAAGTAAAGCAAAAGTATGTCCTCTAAGGAAAGGTAGTTAAGATACTACCATAGCATTGGACCTGCTTAAAACAGATGCAGATACAGTTCTTGCAAAAATATCAAATGGGAGAGCCTCATGTGGGCTGATTCTGGAAACACTCCTTTCCTGCACTTTAACACTGTTTAAATGCTCTACTTTTTGTGAGTTATCTAATTATAGCCCAAGGTGGAACTTCTCATCTGTTACTGTTTGTTTTAGTTATCCCTGACAAGTCTGTGAAGGAAGTCCTCAGGGCACCTGGTACCATCAAAGACAGAATCAAGAAGTTGCTTGCTCACAAAAACAGCGTGAAAAAGAAGGTAAAAATTAAAAATATCATCACAGAACCTGCTGGGACTTCGTCCCCTAAGGGTAGCTTGAGGCCCTTCAACTCCGAAGAGGGTGTTTCCAGAGATGGGAACCTGAGTGGAGGGCGAAAAGGGAACGAGGAGAGAAAGAAAGAAGGGCTGGCAGGAGAGAAAAGAGATGAGACAGCCCCGAAGAACCACGTGGAGCAGGAGCAAAGCCTTCGAGGAGATGTGTTTCGTGAGTATCACTTTTGTTATTTTATACATTTTGTGAAAAATGAGTTGTGATTTCTCTGGGAAATGAAAGGAAAAAAGACAGATTCACTCCTTAAGTAAAATGTATTTGGCTTTAAGTCCTAAGAAGCAGGGTTCTCTATAAGGTTTTCAAACTAACATCTTCAAATACAAAATCAAATTTGCTCCTGTGGGACACAAGGAGCATAGGCCCTTTTCCGTTACC